ACTCGACACATGCACGTTTCCTAATGTATTGTGTCCCCGATTTTGTTTTGGCTCTTTTATCTAGAGGGCATGCCTCTTACTTGGAAGGTCTTTCCTTTTCTCTCTTGCACAGAAGAATGGCCGTGGCCCTGAGCTGAGAGTCAGGGCCCTGGGAGGCTGTATATGATTTCTTAAGAGGGAAACCTAATGTTTCTTTTTGCCTCAGCAATGGAAAAGATAAAGAAGCGTGGTAACTATTCAGTTCCATTGGCTACTATTTTATGTGAAAATTTAGAGAAACGAAGCCATTTGCCTGATTGGTTCTTGACCTTCTGGAGGCTTCTGCCTAGACATGAACTCCGCCTCTGGCAGTAAGGGCGCTTCCCACTTTCTCTTGCGAGGCTGACTTTGGACTCTACTGTTTGTTTGTTTATTTGTTTGTCTCTTTGTTTTTCTAAACTTTCACACAATTGCCACATCTTATTCCCACTCTACCAAATCCCATGTGTCTCCCTTCCTCTCCTCCTTCCACCGCCATGATGTTCGTCAGGCTTAGAATATCTCCCTCGGGTTGTTGCCATCCAGATCCTCCCATCAGCTCTTCTGTGGGTGGCCTCACCTCTCTTTGGAGACCCAGACCCCACACTCAATCATGGAGAGCTCCTTAAATCTCACGGGCTCCCGTCCTCCAGTGAGACGAGCCACCAACCCCTGGAGACCAGTGTCCACCCTCTGACACTGCTATCTTGTCTCTGAAGTACTGTGGGATTTTCTTGATTCCTTTTTTTTTTTAAGATTTTTATTGGGGAATTGGGGGATGGGAANTTTTATGGTTCTCTGTCAATATGAATGCTGGCAGGGGAATTACTGATTTTCATTGATATTCATAGATTTTTAGAGTGAGCATTATGTATGGCTGTAGATGATTACTTTGTTCAAATGTGAACTTTTTATAGATTATAACTAATTCAGTGCAAGCCAAATAAAAGCAGAAACTCTAGAGGCTCAGGGAATCATCTCTAATGGCTTTTAGATGAACCTCATTTTTTTTTAGATTTACACTTTCATAACTAAAGTTTCTTAATCGTTTCTAATATAGCCCATTTTGAATTATTTATAGCATACTTTATAAGCTTTACGCTCAACCTTCCTACCTTGACCCTAAAATCAGATACTGGGAGAAAAATCTCACAATAATTGAGAGTCCCATGACACAGTGCATTGGGTCCCATGGCCCGGTTCCTTTTTGCTTCACAGCCCATAATCGGATGGTCCAGGTGGGGGAACTTGAATTTGGAGGTGGGTGCAGACACGGGCCGGCCTGTGAGCCAGTTTCACTCAATGACCCCACTGCTTCGTCTCCCCAGGAACGGCGGCTGGACCCCCTGGACCTCCTGGTCTCCCTGCAGCACCACCTGTGGGATCGGTTTCCAGGTGCGACAGCGGTCCTGCAGCAACCCCACGCCCCGCCACGGGGGCCGTGTGTGTGTGGGGCAGAACCGCGAGGAACGGTGGGTACCGCCCCGCCCTGGCACCGCCCTCCGCACGCCTACGCTCCCTCCAGCGCGGTCGGTTCCCCTGCGGTTTTAGTTGGGCTCTAGCTTAGCTTAGCTGTGGCACCTCTTTCTGTTGAGCTGGATCGTCCACTTCTTGTCCTGACAGCCTCTAGTTTTGGCCCAAGCCTTGTGTTGACAGCATCACTGGGCCACCGTGTACCTGCAGGCTGGCTCAGGAGCGGAGATCCAGGGACAGTGGGCAGCTGCGCTGGGCTCCTGGAGACGCAGCAAGCGAGTCTGCTGGAGAAAGAGTGTTCTTGTCAGAATTCAACTAGACCATTTTTTAAAACCTACAGTTTCACGTCGGCCGTAAGGCCGTCCTGGTGGGTCCATATGGTATTGGCCAGATGAAGTGAAGTTTTCATCAGAACTAAACTGAGCCGCTGGAGTGTCGGCAAGAACGTAATTCATGGTTTGGTTTATAACAATAACCAGTGCACACACGTCCATTAACAGCCTCAGCGAAGCTACGTGTGACCCAGAGTGGGGCATCCTTTACCACGTGTGTTTTAAGCTTTTAGCACATCTCAGGGACATTTTCNCTCTCGGGTATGTGGACACAGCCTTTCCTGGTCATCACTCCCGACAATTACTCCAACGTCCCTGAGCTGGGAAGGGCTCCTGGTGGGCACTGATGCTCTCTGTGCCCCTTTGTCCTGGTTTTGGTCCCTGCATGCAAAACTGGCCATAGTCGAGGCTGGCTTCCTTGGACAGCTTCATCTTGGGGCAGACTGGCCTTTCCAGAAAGATTATGTTTGTTCTAGAGAAAAGTTCAGAATGATTGAGGCCCATGGGAAGGCCAAGATAAACAATCCCAGATTCTGTGCATGATGAGTGGGTAAAACAGGACTATCAAATAAATACTGATATTTGACATCTGCTTTCGACAGTATTTGGAAACACTTTAAAGTTTGCAGCACTTACAAGGAAACCCTAAGTCTTAACAGGGTTCGAGGGCTCAGCGGTTCTTCTCCTCAAGCTTTAACCAAAGCCCAGCCCCCATTGATTCGATTCTTCACACTGAGTTCTCTCCCACCTGAGCACCTTCCCCATGCTGGTCTCACCGACAGAATGTCCTGGTTTTCTGATTTACAGCCAATGGCTGGCTTCTAGTCATCTCATTGGTTCTAGTTTAAATGCCACTCCCCACATAGTGCCTGACCTTATACCTGCCCATCTAAATGGGGGGGGGTCCCCCTTTTGGTTTTTCCTTGGCAACTGGTTGTTGATATTTAGGGTGTAATTACTTAATGTTTCTTCCCTTTTCTGAAAGGTAAGTTCTTTGGGGTCAGTGACTGTGTCTGTTTTGCTCTCCTCAGTACACCCGCCGCCTTCAGAGTCTGGTTCATTCATGTCAAATGCTCTTAAGTGTGTGCTGAATGAATGGGTGATGGAAACACTTTAACACCCCATGCTTAACGCGTGCATTTTGGTAATATGGCAAAAATATAAAAAATAAATGGGTTTAATGACAACGAGTGTGACAGAACAAGCCAGACAAAGTTACCCACACTCAGACAGTGTAGTATGTGAGGGGATTGTATTCAGTAATTAGCTCCCAGTTTCCAGATAGACAGTGAAAAGATGTTAATGAATATACCTATTTTTCCCATTACTCAACTTACCAAGCAGCGTCATGGCCAACTTTCAAGTGTCAAGGAAGAGTTTAGACCAATATTAATGTCATATTCCTGTAAAGAGGGAAGTAGTTTATCTTTCTAGAATGAAGGCCTGCCTCTAAATTTGCATTTAGGTCTACAGCCTACACTCAATAAATGTGTTTTCCAATTTAACCTTTGGATCCTGACTAACATGTTTTCTGAATTAAGATATTTTCAAATATCAGGGCAATATATCAAGTGAGAATAACCTAAGGTGATTAAGAAAAATAAGGGGAGAACTATTTAAAAAGGTTCATCATACAAAGAAAAACATTTTCAAAGTGGACTAAAGAATAGCCACTTCATGGTGGCCGCATTCCCAGGAAGCCTGTGATCCTCCACATGGTCTCTTTAAAAGAACCACCTTCCAAAAATAATAAGTTATGATGACTCGTTTCCTTGAAAGTATAATTTAGAATAAAGGTAAAGCTCATCAGAATATTTCTCATGGTACGAAGTATTTTAGATGTGGAAAACATATTTATAATAAATGATATTTTTAATGAATGGGCATTTGTGTTTGTAGAGAAGTTTTAATATTTTAAGGGGTAAGTGGAATGTTAAGAACCTGCAGAACCATCAGCAGTATCGGAAGAAAGATGTTTTTACAGGCAGCTTTTCATTTAAAACAGCTTAAAATACCCCATATAACCCCGTGACATTGTTTCAGTTCTCCAGGTTGCTTTGCAAGGGGGAGCCTGGGGCAAAGTTAGGGAATTGGAGGAATTGTCCCCTTTTTGCAATTTTAATTTGGTCTACTGTTGCTTTAATAAGAAACATGAACAGGAATTCAGGCCTTTTGAATAATTCCCATATGTGTAGCTTTGCCCTGTTGCCCACCAACGTGAAAATGGGATCAGACACAGAGAATTCTGTGTGCGATACACTGTGACATTCTGTCAGCCGGGCGTCAGTAAGACTGGGACACTGTGGGTCAGAGCTCACTGTCACAGCCCAGTGAGGTCCCAGCCAGGCGAGGTTCTTAGCTCTCACCCTTTGCCCAGGTCTGTCAGGTCACAGTGGAAGGAAACTTCCTCTGAGTACCGTCCTACAGAAAAATGCCCAGGTAATGTATGGCCTCCCTCACTGAGACAAAGCTATAATAAAATATCCACCATCCACAGTATTTATGATATAATATGTTGATAGACAGAGCTATATTAAATTACTATTAAATTGAAAATTTTTAATACATTTTTTAATAAGGAAGACGTCCTTGTTTTATTAAATTTGAACTAACCATGTTGTTTTATTAAATTTGAACTAACCATGTTGTAGGGTTTTGGGTGATTTGCTTGTCCTTTGGCCAATTTCATAAATGTTGTGTCTTTGTTTTTTTCATCAATAAAGTGAAAATAATACCTGCGTCATTAGAGTTTTTTTAGGTGTCTAAATCATATAATAATGTGATATTTCATAGTAGGTGTTCAACAAATATTTGGTATTAAGGAGTTGATGATGATAGCAGTGGTAGTGGTCATAACTAGTATTTTTGAGCATTGCAAAATTCTGACTTTAGCCCTGTTGATGTCACCAAAAGCCTGGTGTTGGTATAGATAATCATTTACTCATCTGCCCTCTATCTTAGAAAAAAAAAGTATAAGTATTTCAACACAAATTAATTATTTATTTTTAATTGGATACTCACCGGTGTGTGCAGATAGCTATGTTCTCCCATCTGTAGACTGACACTTTATTATAACCAGTCCCCATGTCGACTCATAAGAGCTAGGCTCGCCTTAGCTTGCACCTGGCTTAGTAGGTGAAGCTGCCTCTCTGTTGACCCTTTGGCATGTGTTTCCAGCGCCTGCATCGGGGCCCAGGACCCTTACTGTGGCTGGGATGTGGCGATGAAGAAATGCACCAGCCTGGAGGAGAGCCTGAGCATGACCCAGTGGGAGCAGACCATCTCCACCTGTCCCGTAAGTGTCCGCGTTCTCAGTCCTCTGAACACACTGTCCACGGGAACCCCGCTGACCTACGGTCCTAACCCACACTGTCATGGCGTCCACATTTTCTCCTGAGACCCTCTCCTGTACGCCCAGTCTGTGCTCTCTTACTCGTTCAGCTCAGAGCTTGCCGGAGAGCCACACAGGACACTGGCATCAGCTTTTTGTCAGTTTCGAAGGAAATATCTTAAAAGGACACAGGGCTGGTTTGAAAACGGGGTGTAATATCTCTGTTTTATTCTTGGATTTTTTTCTCCAGTTTGGTTTGGACACTTTTACCCTTTGTAGCGTTCATAAAATAGGAGCATCTGCACCCATCAATTTCCCTTGGGAGCCTTAATTCCAGAAGCTGGGATAAGTGGAGCTTTTAAAGGAATGCACTAAAGGATATTGCTGCCCTCGAGCCCCAGGGGGGGCAGTCTTAGAGATCCTTCTCAGGGTCATGGCAAGGCCTGAGAGAAACGGCCTGATGTACAATCCCACAGGGGATTCTGCAGAAGGGAGAGAAACGCGCTGGCATTTAGAGTCAGACTCTGAATCTGAGAAAACAGGGCCCACGTGTTCCTTGGCCACTTTGTTTGTTTAGGTCCTCACTTTTAGGGACCGGCTTCCATTCGTTCCCTTAATCCAGTAACCTCACGTTCTTTTTCCTGTTCTCAGAGAATATGAACCACAGCTACTAACTCCCACACGTTTGTAAATGTATTAAGTCACCTTGCTGTCACATACTGCTGATCTCTGTGACTCAGTTCTGGCATGCCTCTGCGAGACCGGGGTGAAAAGGGAAGCGACACATCCCCATATTTAAAATCCGGGCTGTTTCTCCAATCTAGAGCTGCCTGAGGCATGTGAACAGTGGTCGGCTTCCCATCGAGGTGCCTGCTAGTTTCATGACTAAACCCGTGTTCATGAAGACTATGCTTCCATTTGTAAGTGGGACAATCATGAAGTGACAAGAGGAAAGACCTATTAAAACCCCTGTCCTTCCCCAAATGGCCCCAGATGGAAGTCTTTCATCACAGAGGTAAACGTATAACCCCATCCAGGCGCTGGGCAAAGTTTTGCAAGGACGTTAGCTGCTGGTCCTTGGGACGATTTAGCTTCAGATCTCAGATTTTGGGAGCAAACTTTCCTGCAGTGTCTCTTGGAATCCATTTTTAAAATGCCAGTGTTTAAGTTTCTTCTCATTCTAAACACCACTCTAAAAGTACCAAGGCGTTCGCCTTGGATTCTTTGCAGCTGGAGAAAACGTACAGTCTCTGAAATGTAGCCCAATGTACGGGCCAAACTTTAGAAGAGTCTTCTCATCTTCTTGTAGCTGTTTGACCTTGCACTTTAAATGGTAAAAAGGGCAGAAGAATACAATCGCAGTTCTTCTTACGTAACGAGGCCATGGATGTAGGAGCATGGTTGTTTGAGTGGATATCTGAGACATACTTAATTATGTCATGGGGAATACATACTCACTCACTTGGTTTGTAGAAAATATGTCTAGTATATTTCTACGGTCAAGAAATGGAGATGACAAGTGACCAGAGGGGGTTACTAAAGTTGCCACTGAGAGGACCGTATCTGTTATAAACCCATGAAGGTCAGCAAACCGTGTGAAGCTGGCCTTGTGTTGTAGCTGTCCCTCCGCCATCTCTGCTTTAAAAGTATGGCTGAGATGTGGTCTCTGATTCAGCGTTTGTGAAACACACATAACCAGGTCCTCTTTTTTCTTCTGGTACTTTTATGATTTCATTATATAAAACCATCCCTATTCTCTAACCCTATATTATGTGTCAAGTCTCAAGGTACACTTTAATGAATTAACAATATGGAAAGCATCCAACAACAGAGAATTATGTTACTCACTTTAATCAAAAGAGGAAATAAAACCACATTTTTCTGATATATGTAGGCTGCCATGTAGAAAATGGAAAATCCCATATTACCCAACTACTATTTTAATTATACGTCCCTTTCTAAAACTATCTTAGAAAGAAATGAACTAGATGAAAATTATTAGCATTATATAGAGCAGTCTTAACATAGAGAGGTATTTTTAAATGCTATTCAAATGTAATTTGTTTCTATGCTCTTTTTATTTTTGACTGAAATGGAAGAAAGGCTTAATTTTATTGGTCAAATCGACTATATTTCATCATGTCTGATATGCCATTGGTTGTGATGTATACTACGGTTTTATACG